GGAGCTACCCACATGGCACAGCAGACCTTGCCTAACTCGCCTGCTGCTCCCCTCAGCAGTGTATTTCGGTCAGTCTGCCTGTTCTGTTCCCCGCTCTGTCTCTGGTGAATCCTCTCACTGCCTGTCTCCCCGACCCCCCATGCCACCCCACATGTCTGGCCTGTACCCAGCTGTTGTATGCATAAATAAACAAATCTTAAAAAAAAAAAGTCCCACTTGCTTTTCAGCCTTGTACTTGCACCAGGGACTTGGGGGACATACAGAGACTCTTAGAACAGAAGTGAGAAAGAGACCCAGGGGAAGGCTGACAATGGCAGCCTTTATCTTGACTTGTACTTTGATTTTGTCCATTGAGTCTTAGACTTGCTGGAACCCTTTAGCCTCCTTCTTGTGGCTCCCCACCAGAATGTGCCTTAGATTTGTGGTAAGCTTTTGGGCTTCAGCGACCCTACTTTGGGCCAACCCTTTTTAGCTGGGCATTTACACATAAGGGAGTGGGTAACTTTGGGTGTTTTATTGGAAACTACTATCCTTTCTTTTCTTTCTATGCACTCTATGCTATTAAAGTTCTTTCACACTAAGAGAATGCTTTGTCTTTATGCAGCGGATGGCAGAACCCATTTAGAGTATGCAGGCTTGGGGAATCCCGGGGTGCTCCTCAGTCTGCCTGCGTACAGTTTTCCATATTCTTATATAGAAATAAAAACATTAGTTAGGGTTAGTATTTTGTATGTTAAATAATGAAGTATGTATAATATAAAATTATTTTCCTTCTCTTGCCTCCTGAACAGAGTTGGAGAAAATTCTTAGTGAAAGGGTTAAAAAAACGAAAATCCCATACTCCTATTCATTTATGATTTGAGGCAAAAACTAGAATTAAAGAAAAATCAGAATAACGATATCACCAACTCAAGATTTAATAAGCCTAGAGAATGAAAATGAAATCTGCTGTCCCAGTACCCCTCTCAGATGATAAGGCAGAACTGCCAAAATCCTAAAAAAGTGTTTGGACAGTGGGGAAAACAAACAAGCAGTCCCCTCCCCCTTCACTTTTACCTAACTAAACATTGACCTAATTCAATAGTTTTCCAATGATAACTTGGAAACAGTCAATAAATAATATATGCCTTCCTGGTTGACTTTCACTGAAATCTATGATTAATTGCCCTTCACTGCAGGAATACCACATTCAGCTTTGAAAAGAACAATTCTCATTACCTTTTCAAGATAAACTCATGGATACATGTTCTTTAGGCTCTACATTTAAGAAGTATTTTGTTCAACTTTTAAACTTTATATTTAGGACACATGCTATAACCAATCATAAAAATAAATGATTATAACAGGAGAGATTCTAAAGAGGCCTATCCCCTGGGACTACGCCTTCAGATGCCTGTGCCTTGACCAATTCGGTAAAGCCAGAAACACACCCTGGTGGGGCAGAGCCACACTTACATAATGTCCTGGCAGAAGGGTTGTGAGACAGTAGAAAGACTTTTGTAATCCCTTCTCATTCCTTGGAGAGCTTTCAGGCAGGGAAGGGTGAGATTACTATGTGTCAAGGGGAATTTGGCTCCAATGCCTCCTCCAGGCACAAGAATGGGTTGTATGCATCAGAATAAGGGTCAGTGATGGTACCAAAGATTATGGCCACTTTTCAACATCTTTGGAGTTCAATGGTGAACACTACTTGGCCACAGAAAGGAGGGGCTGTTCCAATCTTTCTCACAATTACCACCCTAATTATTATATTATACTTTCACAGTTTAATCCCTTTACTTGCCTCACTGCCTTTTGGGGACTAAGCAAGCAGTATGGTGTGATGCCTGCTGATGGAGCTAGCGGGGAAGCCTTACTGAGCGCCGCCCAGCTGCCAGCTACAAGTGCAGCCAGGTGGGCAAGTCCAGAGTACTAATCTGGACAGTGACATCTCTGTCTCATTTCAAAATCCCTGAAAGTTGCTCTCTCCAATATGGGGTAAAATGGAGCTCCATACATCAATGCCAAGAATCACCCTGCGCTCTGCTCTGCTAAGCTCTTGGTAGCATTTCAGCAGCCTAAGGAATAATCAGGCCTAGAATTCCAATTATTCTATCCCAGTATTGTTCAGTAAATAAAATTGACATCGCTATTAATATCTAAGCTATCGTGATTTTTTAAAACAATTGTCAGATCATTTTCTCACATAGCTGTTCCACCCTTAGAAATATATTAAGGATGAGAGAATTCAATCCACATCCCCCCGCCAGCCACATCCCCAATATTAGGAACCCCTTGAAGGCAAGAGACATTTGTAGGAGGAATTCAACTCAATCCACAAGACTTTGGGAGAAGAGCGTTAAGAAAATTTTAAGAATAGGAAACTCCAAGTCAGTGTGCTCTGTGGCTCACAGTAGGTTCTCAGTAAGTATCTGTTGGGCAAGTGAAAGAGTGGCTTTCATAATGGAAACCTCTTAATTATATCAGCATACACAGTACTTATTAATTTATTCCAAAATATCTGCTTATCTTTGTGTAATGAGATTCAGAGAGGTGTAAACTTGAGTTCACAAAATCAAATTGCTCACAGTTTCGATTTCTGGTCAATCAGAGCTGTTCTAACACTGTTGGACAACTGGCTTGGTAAGAACCTAAAGATTTGAAGTGTGTTTTTGTTCTCCTATTTTGCAATATTGGTAAGGAGATGGAAGATAATTTTGAAATGCCCAAATGTAAAAGGAAGTTTTGCATATTAAACACCATTGTTTCTACTTCCCCTTGTTACATGTGATTTTCCATTCATTTCACCCTTAGATATCCCATGAACTAGATAGGAAAACCTCCAAAATAAATGAGAATGAAAAACAGAAAGATCCAATGGATGAAGTACTTTTGTAAGAGAATACTAATAAAATCTGCCAATGATGGGCCATAATAAGGAAGATTTAACTATTGAGATATTTAGATATAGTTGTACATACCCCACACTGAACTGGCCCATGTTCCTTGTAAACCTACAAAAGGCTATAAACAAAATTGAGGCTGAACTCTCCATTCCATGATATGAGTCTTTAAAAACTTTGCACTTTGAATAAACTCTTAAACTGTTTGTTCCTCAGCTATGAACCAAGGAAACTCCACAACAGGTAATAGAAAGGCAAGTAGGCAAAGGTGCAACCCATCAGTGTGGCCTAAGACTCCACAGAATCGTCAGCGCCACTGGTTGAAAAGAGTCATGCTCCCAGACACTCTTAAAAAGGGAGGATGGGAGATGAATCTGTGTGCCTAGTCAGGATTTCAGAATCAGCTTTGGAAGGGTTAGAGTTTAACCAATATAATCTATTTCACTCTTTGAAAACCAGTTCATGTCTATGTTTTTGAACTGACTTCAGTATGTCTAGCAAGAGCTGTGACAATGTTCAGGTGAAAATCAGCACTAGCAGGTTTACTCAGTGGTTCCCCAAGGGAGGTGAGCATCAGAATCACTGGAGGGTCTAGTACATCACCAAAGGCTGGATCACCCTAGGGATTCTGATGGAGGTAATCTGGGATAAAGTTAGGAATCTGCATTTTCAACAAATCCCCAAGTGGTGCAGATCCTGCTCATCCAAGCATAGTTGAGAGGCCTGGATATAGAGTTGGGCATAGCATACTGGTATTCAACCATGGCTTTAATGAAGCCTTAGCTAGGAAGTTTTCAAATATCCTTCTTTGCTCTCCGTGCAAAGGTCAATTAATTCAGAATTTGGGGGCATGACCTCTGGCATTGGTATTTTCTAAAAGTTTCCAGGAGATTCCATTGAGCTGCCAAGGTTGAGAACCATCATATGCTAGAAGACCCCACTAGAAGACACCCTCTGCAAACCACTGAGCAGGGCGGCATAACAGGTACCCAGTGGATCCTCAGGAAACAATGTTCTCTTCAAAAGTGTGTCTAAGAAGGTGAAATAGAACTTTCTGTGGGAATATATCTCCATAGCTTTTTAAATGAGTTGAGTTCTGGCTCTGTGGGTAACTAGTTTAAAAGAACATTTGTAAATGTCGATGGTAGTTTTCTACATTTTGTGTGGGAAATGTTATTTATAAATCTGGAGATCTACAAAGGTTTGGGTATGTCTTATATGTATTGGAGGCATGTATTATTGTTTGATATGATTTGGGAGACTTTTATGCTAATTCATTCCAATCCCAGGGAAGAAGCAGTTGATTAAATGTGGAGGGAACAGACTTTCTCCCTGGACTGCAGCAGCAGCCTCACTGCAAATTTCCTGGAAATATGAATTCTCAAGCTTCTAGCCCAGATCTACTGAATCAGAAACTCTGGAGGTAGGGCCAGGTGATATATGCATTTTAACAAGCTCTCTGAGTATGTCTGATGCGTGCCCAAGTTCAGGAAGCACATGTCTGCCACATTTATTATTTCCAAGAATCTTGAGAAGAACTGAAGAGGCAAAAGTGTTCATTTGTTCACTTGCTACACAGGACTACACTGCTCTGCTCTTTTAAACTCCACCCAAAGCTAATTATTATTCCATCCTTCAAGCTTACCAGTGAAAGTGGGATTCATAGAGGGCCTATCTGGGGGAGGAGTTTATTTTACAAACGTCCACTATCCATTTTAATCTATCTCTACTTTCTACTCAAGATAGAACCAAGACTGTGATTCCTGACTAACAAGTGTGAATATAAGCTTTTAGACTAAGACCAATGAGTGGGACCTGTAGGAAAGGGGGGGAACATGAGGGTCAATCAGGACAAGGGGGGCAATGGGATGGAGAAGGAGCAATTTTGACTATTAGTGGTGACCTTCATGTGCAGGTACACAAGTTGATTCTCAGTCCTGCACATCTGAAACTTAGATGATGTTGCCATGGGAGAGGATGTCCGTAAAAATAATAAAGGTGAAATAACAACAACAACAATATTAAAGGAGACAATCAGCAAGGATAAGAACTAGGAGTAGCAAAAAAAGTCAAGGGAGGTAGAGGAAGAGGGTAGGGGACCACTAGGCCACGACTTACCTTGAATGGTCCTCTTGAAGAAGGCCTTACAGGCCTCACAGGACGCGACCCCGTAGTGGTACCCAGAAGCGATGTCCCCACACACTAAACACAGTCTCTTGGGCATGGAGTTGAGCATGTATTCACACTTGGTCTGGGGGTCTTCCACCAGGGTGCTGGAGCAGTCGTCATACAGTTTCCTGACAGGCCCACTCCCTCCAAGGATAGGAGCAGAAGGGTAGAGAGGTGGCGAGTCAAGTCCGTTCTGATGGCCATTCATGGTGGAACTGTAGCTCCCGCTGGCGTCCGAGGAGCCGCCTGGGCTGTGGTGGTTGACGCTGTCCGTCAGGGAGGCCGGGCTGGAGGGTTCCGTCTTGATGAAGGACGAACAGCTGGAATCAATGTGTCGATCTTTGTTTGACATTCTGCAGAGAAGCCTGAGATAGAGGGAGAGACACAACACAAGGGGAGAAAGAGAAGGAGAAAGCGTCAAACCAAGGAGGTAGAGACCCAGGAAAAAAAACAGGTGGCAGTGAATGGGAAGGATGGAGAGAAAATGAATTCCTATGTTAAAGGATTGTGCTGTGAGAGAGCTGCTTCTGAAGAGCCAGGGACAGCACATCACTCATTCTCTGGCCTATCCCTCTTGTTCTACAAAACGGTAATCAGCATATGGCCATGACAGGGTTACATCAAAGTGCTCAGAAGGGCCATAAACAAGCTCTAACGGGTTCAATTCCTCTATTTCCCCCTTTTCTTGGGGAGCCTCTGTCAATATCTAAGTCAACTCTCCAGATTCTGAATTTATCAGTGGAAGGGGAGTGATTTGCCAAGTCCGTATCATTTCTCAAAAGGCATTTATCCTGCCTCCTCTGATTCTTCCACTTTCTCTCTGCTACCACCACTATTTTATTATAAGCAGAACCAAACTTTTACTTTCAATGCTGCACAGAGGATTCCTCAGCTCTGTAATTACTGTTTGTCAGCACGCTTCCATAAGCATAACTGTGTCCTTTATTGATCTGACTGAGACACATAGGGAAAATATCCTCAATCACTTTGCTTCTTTATTTAAATTGCTCTATTTCATAGCCATTTAGCAATATAGAAGATATCAAGTATGAAGTGCTGGACAATATTTTAGGATTATTTCCTAGAGCCTACGAAACTGAGTGAAATAATTACCAGCACTGATGAATAAATATGTGCAGGTAACATGTGTGTTTGTGAATGCATGACTGTGTATATGTGTTTGTGCATGTCTGTGTATGCTGTGTTTGTGTGTGTAGGTTTATGTATGTGTGCCTATCTGTGTGTGATTTGCTACTGTTTACGAGATGCATCAATAAAACCCAAGAGCCTCAAGTATACCCTGGGTCCATGCATCTGACACTTTATATTCAGTGAGGGAGAAATGTATCAAATTTTGTCCTGAGAAATAATGAGATTTTTGGTGATCCTTTTCTTCTCTTCTTTTAGTCTTTTAACATCACAATTCCGGAAAGGAAACATGATGAAGCATATCTAATCTGGCAAACCATCTTTCTTATCTAGAAGAAACATTTTGACCCTCTTTCTTTGTTGGACTCACAAGTGATTAAATTTCTGAAAAGGTAATTAGATGAGAAGATATAATGGGTCTGATTTTCATTCCCCTTCACCATAGTGCAAAACCCCTTTTAGCAAACTCTCTCAGCACCTTCTGAGAGCCCACTCTAGAAAGAAGAGGTGACAGTTGAGGAAAAGACCCTGATAATTGCTTCCCAGTGGATAGGTGATTTATGGGAACCCCACAGGGAAATGGTCATTTACTAGAGTTTGGGGGAGTAGTCACAGAATAATTTCCAAAGGCAGGCAAAGATCTCTTGCACTTATAAATCACATGACGTTTTATCACTGCACACATTCCATGCACCCCCTCCATGTCCCATTCCCCCACTTGTTCTGTTACCTTAAAGTCAAGAAAAGTATGCAATTTCCTTTCAGAGAATATCCATTTGAGAGCAAAGCATTACTTTGTAAGCATAAATTGTCCGACATTAAAAAGCAAAGCAAGAATCTGCCTCTTAGCACGTCTATTAAACATCGGCCCTTGTGTTCAGCTTTCTAAAGTGAAGACACATCAAGATGGGAAGAAAGCAAATAGGCGGGAGAGAGCCACAAAAATATCTCCTGGCTTTCGCCCACCCACGTGTGTTGTCCTTTCCTCAAGAACTAGTGAAGGAACAGCGCTTTCCTCCCAGCCGGGAACCTGGGCGCGCTCCCTCCCGCATCTGCTGCTGCTGTGCAGTCACTGTTAATGAGCATGGTAATTAATAGATCGCTCTCCTTGTCTCCCTGCTTGCACCCTGGGCTAAGCACTTTTCCTCAAGTCAACGTTTGAAAGAAAGCGGGTCGGCGCTGACTTATAGCAGCCCTGCGAATTCCTTTTAATTTAGAGCACTTACACCACCACTTCACTTATTACCTTATAATTACTGGACTGCTCGCACATACATTATGATCTCAGGCGAGAGTGAGAAGTTATTAGGGTACTAAAACATGGTGGCTCCCCTCTCCTCGCTTTGGCACTGAATTTCTCACAGTGATGACAATTAACTCTTTCGCCATCTGCCCTGCCAGGCAACACTTCTTTTTTGTTCTTTCCAGAAGAGCAATGCTGCGGACTGCATGATCACGACCCAGAACTGTTTCTCTAGATCCTCTTTTCTCCTCTCTCTCTCCATCTTTTTTCTTGTATCATCTACAGTCAGTTTCTTCCCAATTTTCTTCTTGGGTTTTTCCCCACCTACATCTAAAGTTTGCAGAGCTCCTAACTAAGAAACAAGGTCAGAGATTGTCTTCTCATGTAAGGAATAGTTATATGCTAAGGCAACAAAAGTTTATGTCTCAAATGCATGTCCTTAGAGTCCCTGAAAAACCGGGTGTATTGTGTGCCAACTGCTGACCTTAACACTTGACAGAGAGAACTTCACCTTATCTCCAGGGTCCCCTTGGATGGGAGCTGTGTCTTCAGGCAAAAGCATCTCAGCTGCCACTCAATTTTCTGAAAGTCACAATTAAGAAGGGGGAAGAGCAGGTTTTGAACTCAGGTGTGTCTCTGCAGCCCAGTGTAGAAATATCTTGCAGTTAACAGAGTTTTTAAGGGTGTTCACTGAATTAAGAAAGGAATAACCAAGCAGGTGGGGGCAGGGATGGTTCAGGATAGATTGCAGATACACAGCTCAGCCATGTGTGCCAAATGGCTGGAACCACCACACTGGCCACAGGCCTGCCCGGTGGAGTTTCCCTTCCTGGGGTAGGAGTGACACCGAAACAGAACCTCTGAAAGAGCACAGTTGTCTCCTAATTACTACTTAGCTCATACACTGAATACTTCCTAGACACCAATTCATTATACCCTAAAACTACAGCGGTCTTAATTCTCTCCCTCTCTGTCTCTGAAATTCTACAGCTCTATTATTCAAGCCTGAAATATTCACAACTATCTATAAATTCAATTGTCAGCTGGTGGGTTTTATTCTAGACTTCACTTCAATCTAAAATTAGAGGCACTAAAATTCACATTAACTCTAAGAGGAATGTAGTGAATAAGACTTTATTTCCAAAGAACACCTTTTTGTCAGAAAGAGCCATTTTCAAGATGATGGCTTTATCTGTAACCAAAGAGAATAAGCCCAATTCCACATTGTGCTGTTAATGCAGAAATTTTAGGTCACATTGGATTAATAAAAATCTAAATTCAGTTAAGAATTATGAATAGAAATAACATGTGTTGAAGGCTGTAAGAAATATTTATTTGAAAGCCTAGGAGCAATTGTCTTTATTTTATTATTTTAAGAGACATGATCAGAAGCACAGGGAAAACTGGTAACTTTCTAAAAACCCTTCTCTGAGCAAACACCCTGAGAATAAACTGGAGCAAAAAGGAGCGATATCAAGAATTGCATTTTGTTTTTATATGTGAAACTAAATCTGTGGATTTAATAGTCCTCCCGAGGTCAGGGAAATTTCAGTGCTATAAAAAGCATTTTTGACATAGTTTGAGATCTAGTCTCAGCTAATTCTGATTATTCCGCTTCAACATGGGAACTTGTTACCCAATCTTGCCTGAGAGTCAGCAAGGGTAAAAATGGACTTTGGTGTCAGACACTAACAATCAGGCAAAGAAAACTCTGAAGTTGCTGAAATACATAAAATGCAATTTCTGAAAGTGAATTAATTGTGTGTATGGATATGCATTGTAGAGTGAGCATGAGACAAAGAATCAACTCCAGTTGCTATTGTACAGGAATTAAGATCATCCAAAACCAAGAGATTATCCATAAATTAATATCAAATGTAAACTAAAATTATCAAGCTAGAGATTTTACCTAGATCCAGGTAAATGTGCCACCTCGAGTTTGAATTTTTATGCACAAGAGTCAATGTCCAGGGTGGCCTACATTTCACAGGAGGGACTTGGTTTAACCAATCCTTTTATTTGTCAACCAATGATATTACAGTCATGTGGAATCAGCTCATATACTATTAACACTTCGGTGAAACTGTAGGTTCTTTTTAAACTCCCTATTTTATCCTTGGAATTTTATAGAGTGCTCTAATTTATTTGCTACTTTAATGTTCCTGATTGTTATACTAAGGCCAGATTATCTTAGAGACTTCGATTACACCTATATCAGTAACAGACAAATGGGCAAAATGTACAACTCAGTAAGTCATTATTTTATATTACTTATCTTTAGGAGTCAAAAAGGTACCAACAGTCATTATAAATTCCTTGAACGATGTATATTCCATGATTTTATTTAAGGAGACTGAAGCCACAAACTTGCAGCTTACAAAAGGGAGAGAGAGAGAAAGAAAAGAATGAACCCTTGACTCGCTCTCACTGAAACAGAATTCAGGGTTGGAAGACAAGAAGATTGCCAAGTTTTGATACTTAATCGCTACTTATTCAAAATAAGAATGAATCTATGAGGATTTGGGAAGGTTCCTGACTTCTGAAATCATCGGATTAAACAGTTAGGTATCTTTTATTAAAAAACAAAAAGCTTTTATTACCATATAGGTTTTGTTTTAATGCTTTTAGAAGAAAACCTCCCTGACGAACACAGCTCCCTGAGACCCCAGCTTCGAGCCGGCAAGCCCAGCAGCTCCTTTAGCTGCCTGAGTTCCAACTTTAAGCATGCTCTTCACAATGGGCTTTTTTCCCCTGCTTCAACTAATTGCACTCTCGTAAAGTGGCAAAATGTGAATCACTTAGTAAGGAAATGGGCACCAGCTGCTATTGTCAGAGAATGGTGATGCTGAAGAAAGGGAAAGCAACCGAATGAAGTGTCATGTCAGAAATCATCGGTGCAACGTGTGATTTGAGAAAACATGACTACTTTACAGAGACAGGGTGTCATTACGGCATCACCGTAATACGATGCTT